CATCATGGCAGCGCTCCATCACATCACCACCTCCTGCCCCAATGCTGTGTTCGCACTCTGATTGGCTGTTTCAGTCAATTAAGGCTTTTTACTATTAGAATACCACATGTAGTTTAAGTTTCAAACACCTTCACTAAACCAGGGACATCTTTCTGTTGTTGTTGCAGAGGAATTTCCTTATAGATTCAAGTTAACTCTTGTCTTCTAAAACTGTTGCTTCCATGGATCTATATTGTAAAAACTGAATTCCTGGCCACATGATCCTAGGCCATTTTTAAATAGTCACTGACTGTTAGGCACATGAACACACTTCTCAAAATCTACATTTTTAGTGTGCAAAGCTATAAAATACACTCAATTTTTCTAACAGTTTGAACCCTTAGGCATTGAACTCCAAAGCAGAGCTCATATTAGACAATCCATCTGATGCCCAACAGTTACTATGATGAATTATTCCTTTTTCTCCTTCAGGACATAGCTTTTATATGGTCACTCTGGAGAAAACAAGCATACTGATCTGTTTCGAGAAGCCTGTTATTCCAAACTATGAATGAAGTACTGCATTCCAAAAACCAGTTATTTTTTGTTTTTGTTCTAGGCCCATGAAAAAGAAATTTGTAAAAATTAAAATCAAATTCCTGTAGCAGTCCTACAAACTGTAAATAAAAGTACATTTAAAAGACCGGCAGTAAAAATGCTATCCTGTCAAGTAAATTAACTCTACAATGTAAAGCTCCTTAAATATTAACCATCTGTTAAAAAGAGGGCAGTTGTATAAACTTAGCCTTCAGAAAGTCATGGCCAGATCTTCATATGTATGTTTAAATGCTACAACACACCTGCTGAATTACTTGCCAGAGTTAGTTGTTGCAATGCTGTTTCACAGCTTTCCAAATGCATGGGATATTTATGGTAAATGCACCTCTTCTAAATTTCACACAGATTTCACACAGACATTACGGCTGGAAGGGACCTCAGAAGATCATCGAGTCCAGCCCCCTGCCCAAAGGGCAGGAAGTCAGCTGGGGTCAGAGGATCCCAGCAAGATAAGCACCCAATTTGCTCTTGAAGGTGTTCAATGTAGGTGCTTGAAGCACCTCCCAAGCAAGCTATTCCAGATCTTGGGGGCTCAGATGGTAAAGAAATTTTTCTTTATGTCCAGCCTGAAATGGTCTTGCAGTAGTTTATGACCGTTCAACCTCGTCATCCCTTGCGGCAGTCTAGTGAACAAACATTCCCCCAGATACTAATGGTCACCCCTGATAAACTTATAGGTGGCCATCAGACCATCCCTGAACCTGCGCTTTTCCAGGCAAAAGAGGCCCATGGCTCTCAGCCTGTTGTTGTAAGGTATGTTTTCCTGACCTCTGATCGTGCCTGTGGCTCTTCTCTGGATTCTCTCAAGCTTTTTCACATCCTTTTTGAATTGTGGGGCCCAAAACTGGATGCAGTACTCCAGCTGTGGCCTCACCAAAGCCGAGTACAAGGGGAGAATGACGTCCTGGGATTTGCCTGAGAAGCATCTATGGATGCAAGCCACCGTTTTGGTCGCTTTACTAGCTGCAGCATCGCATTGTAGGTTCATGTTCATCTTGTGGTCAATGAAGACCCCCAAGTCTCTTTCTTCCATAGTCCTAGCCAGCAGAGCACTGCCGTGCTTATAAGGATGCTGCAGGTGTTTCCTCCCAAGGTGGAGAGCCTTGTATTTTTCAGGGTTAAACACCATCAGGTTCTCGTCCACCCATTTGCTAAGCCTGTCCAGGTCAGCCTAGATCACCCTCCTGTCTTCAGGTGTGGATGCTTTGCCCCAAAGCTTGGTGTCATTGGCAAACTTGGCCAGTCCGCTTCTGACTCCAATGTCCACATCATTAATGAAGATGTTGAACAATATGGGTCCAAGGACAGAGCCTTGGGGGACCC